GTGGAGAGGTATGGCTGAAAAGGAAAGGCTGGGGGGGGGGGGGAGGGGAAAGGGGGAGAGGCCAGGTACAGGACTTATCAGGGCCAGGACTTATCCAGGCCAGGTACAGGAAGAGGTGTGGCCAGGTGGGGGAAAGGTGTGGCCACACTGGATCTGGATGTGACCTCAGGGTCTAGGACCCTCCTAAGGTCAGATGGGAGGCATGTGACCAGAGGTGGCCCTGGATGTGACCTAGCAGGAGGGGAAGGTGACTGATCCAGGTCTGCCAGTTACCTAGGTAACAGATACTGGGTGGAAACTTAGCCAAGAGGGAGGGAGGTGTCCCTGTTCATACCTTACAAATATCTTCTCCTAAAGACACAAAAGAACAGCAAAGAGATATTAAATGATGGGACTCAGGAATACATTTCTGAGGCAGTGCAGTATGGGTAAGACTAGTACGGCAACAAAGAAATCCTAAATTATGATTGATAATTATATGTTTAGTAATAATACTATTGCAATGTTTAGTAATAACAGTGTATGTTTTGATAAGACCAATAAAGAATTGTGTGAATGTTAATAATGTAAGGTCTGAGAGACAGCCCCAGGCCTAGAGTTCAAGCCCCATGACTGACAAAAAAAAAAGAAAAGAAAAGAAAGAGAAAGTGTTTATATAAAGGTCTTATTTTCTAGGTATCCAGTAGGATGACCAAGGTCTAAAAGACTGTGTCATGCCTGTAACTCTAGCTATTCAGGAGGCTAAGATCTGAGGGTTAATGTTCAAAGCCAGCCCCATGCAGCAAAGTCTATGAGACCCTTTTCTCCAATTACTCACCAAAAGCCCGAAGTGGAGCTGTGTCTCAAGAGGTAGAACACTAGTCATTGAGGGAAAAAAAATCCTCAAAGACAGAACCCAGGCCAAGAGTTCAAGGCCCAGGACCAGCACAAAAAAAATAAATAAATAAAATAAAATAAAGGCTAAATCTGATAGCACTGGAATGGGGAAACACTTTTCTGGACTAGAATCTTCTATTCTCTCCCCATTGGCTTCAGATAAGTTCCCTGAGCTGAGAAGGTGGCTTAGTGGTAGAGTATTTGCCTAGCATGCGTGAAGCACTGTGTTCGATTCCTCAGTACCACATAAACAGAAAAACCCAGAAGTGGCTCTATCGCTCCTAGTGGTAGAGTGCTAGCCTTGAGCAAAAGAAGCTCAGAGACAGTGCCCAGGCCCTGAGGTTCAAGCCCCAGGATTGCAGGGGGGAGGGGGGGTAGAAGTCCCTATCTCCTTAAGGAGCCTACTCTCAAGTTCAAGATTAAACTGTGAAAGACAAAGAGGATCTAAAAAGAACACAACTTCCCTCACCCAGAAGAACTCTAGGTAGTCACCCAATCATTTAGAGAAGGTGAAAAGGGAGAGTCTGATTTCTGCTGCCTAATAACCTCCCCCTTTTAGATAAAAACCCTAAGCCCTAGTGCTTTTTGTGCATTAGGAGAGTACTTTAGGGGCTGGGAAGGTGGCCCAGCGGTAGAGTACTTGCCTTGCATGCATGAGGCCCTGAGTTTGATTCTCAGCACCACATAAGCAGAAAAAGCCAGAAATGGTGCTGTGGCTCAAGTGGTAGAGTGCTAGCCTTGAGCAGAAGAGCTGAGAGACAGCGCCCAGGCCCAGAGTTCAGGCCCCACGACCAAAGAAAAGATTGTACTTCAGAAAATCCTCTATCTCCCATTTATCATCCTGCACCTTAATTTTCCACCACAAATATTTCAGATTATTCTTCTTCAACTAGTGCTCTACTACTTGAATGACAGCTCGACTTTTGGGCTTTTATCAGACATAATTGGAAATAAGATTCTGATGGACTTTCCTACCTGGGCTGGCTTGGAACCGCGATCCTCAGATCTTAGCCTCCTGAATAGCAGAGGATTATATGCTTGGGCCACCGATGCCCAGCCCCTGTTCTCTTGAATAGCTTTTTCAGTTAAGTCTGGCATTTTACTACTTGAGCCACAGCTCCACTCAGGCTTTTTGGATGCTTAGTTGGAGATGAGTCTCATGGACTTTCCTGCCTGGGCTGGATTTGAACTTTGATCCCAGATCTCAGCCTCCTGAGTAGCTAAGATTACAACCATGAGACATCTTTTTATTTTATTTTATTTTGGGTCTGGTCGTGGGCCTGAACTCTGGCCTGGGCACTGTCCCTCAGCAATTCAGCTCAAGGCTAGCGCTCTACCACTTGAGCCACAGTGCCACTTCTGCCTTTTTCTTTTTGCTTATGTGGTGCTGAGGAATCGAACCCAGGGCCTCATGCATGCAAGGCAAGCGCTCTACCATTGAGCCACCTTCCCAGCCCATGAGCCATCTTTTTAAAAGCCAAGGTGCCTTGTTTTTTGGATTTCTGGTTTATTTGTTTGCCAATCTCGAGGCTTGAACTTGAACTCAGAGCCTGGACACTATCTCTGAACTTCTTTTATTTATTTTTATTTTTATTTTTTTTGGGTCCAGTCGTGGGCCTGAACTCTGGGCCTGGGCACTGTCCCTCAGCTCTTCAGCTCGAGGCTAGCACTCTACCACTTGAGCCACAGCGCTACTTCCGGCTTTTTTCTTTTTGCTTATGTGGTGCTGAGGAATCGAACCCAGGGCCTCATGCATGCAAGGCAAGCGCTCTACCACTGAGCCATCTTCCCAGCCCATGAACTTCTTTTATTAAAGCGAACATGCTACAACTAAGTCACCTTCACAGCCCTGTTGCCTTGTTTCAATGCTTCATTAATGTGAATCATGATTTTCTAATGCTACTGTTCTGTTGCATTTATCAATCAACCCAGTATTTAGGTGCCCTGAAATTTGTAGCAGAACAAATGCTTAGTTTCTTTCTCTTATTTCACCAATTTTCAAAATAAGAGATGATTCCTTAGGTGGTTGGAAGGTGAATGAAGACATGTTTTTCTCTCTAGTATTGCTGAATTCATTTGTTTGGCATATAATCATGTCTCAATTGTGACAGGGAACATTCTTTTCATGCTCAGATTGTCTTTGGCCAGTGGGTGCCTTTTCATCTTGGCACTTGGGTCCTTCCTACATAGCCTCAGTAGTATTTGACAGCCATCAAAATGCTAGGGGATGCTCTACATTGCTTGTTTTAGTTTAGAAATCAGTCTCTGTAAGTGATGATCGGCCCTTTTGAGTGAAAAAAATTCGTTTAGATCGTAAATGGGATCTTTCTTGCAAGCCAGGCAACATGTCCGTGGCTGAGGTCCTGCTCTTTTCACTTAAGCATATATCCTGGAGCCCATGGAATGGCCCATTTTTGTCTTGCATAAATAACCTCACAGAGCTGCATTGTGTGAATGAACGGTTGTTTATACAGCCAATCCTTTGTGGGTGGACATGTGTATTCAATAAGCGTCTATTGCATGACTCAATTGTGCCAGGCAGTGAGCATAAAGACATGGTGGTTGGCTTCAGGAAACTCAGTGCAGAGGAGGGGATGTCTACAATACAAGTACTTTTCCTCCCATCGAAGCAGAGCTGAAATCCATTTACCACCAGGACTACATGGAAGAAACCCTCACATACAGGAGAGATATAATAAGCTCCTTATTGATTGGCATCTTGCTGTACTTGAGCCTTGGGGGCGGGGGGGGGGGGGGGGGGATGGTTATCAGGGGTTGGGATTGCTAGGAAAATCGTGAGTGCCACCAATTGGTCAGGGAAGAGAAGGCCAAATGAAAGAGGAGGAGATGGGGACCGGAGGACAAAATTCTCCATGAAAGAGGAAATAAAAGTGAAAGTTCAAGTCAGGGCCTTGGCACTCTTGCTTGGTGGCTTTTTCAGCCCAAAGCCTGTGCCCTACTACTTAAGCCACGCCTCCACTTCCAGCTTTTTGCTGGGTCCTTGAATGTAAGTGTTTTCTCTGGTTTGGATCCCAGATCTTTAGATCTCAACCTCCTGGATTGCTAGGTTTACAAGGATGATATTGTTAAAGCAATAGAACTGTCTTAGGACCGTTGTTCTAAAGGGTTTCCGTATATTTCTTTTACTTTTAAAAGTTCTAACCGGTATGGACTTTTTTTTTTTTAATGAGAATGCACTTAAGGGCACAGGGATCTGGGTTGCCGAAGATAATACACACACACACCCTCCACTGCCGTGCTTTCTCTAGACGAGGGGGGGGGGGGAGGGGGGGGAGGCTGGACACCGGAGGGACCCCGAAGTCTCTTCTGAATGCGTGTCCCGGGACAGCGATGGGCGGGTCCGCCGAGAGGAGGCCAAGCTGGGACCTGCAAACCGCGACCCCTGGTGGTGGGCAGGGCCGGGATCGCTCCGCGGGCCCCGAGCCTTCCCGGGGATCCTAGGCAGAGCTTGGCAGCGAACAGGGCAGGCGAAATCCCACCGCCTGGAAAGCAACACACGGAGGGGAGCGAAACCAAGAGCTGCACGGCACGTAGCGCTCCTCGTGCTTCTGGACCTCCATCAAGCACCAGCTAAACTAAAACCTGGGGAAGAGATAAACACAAAGCCAAGATCTCACAAAAGGAAAGACCCCCAGTTCACGTCAGAAGGGTAATGTGCCCACGTCGTAACAAGATTTAGAGGGAGGCACATGTCACGCAAGCGCGTGAGAACCCAATCATCACGCTTATGAACCGGAAAAGGATCAACCTTGCGCTGGTGGGGAAAAAATTCCTAGGTATGTGCGACTCATTTTAAAGACAGGGTGAGTAATACCGTCCAGACAGATGCAGTATTGAGCTATAATTTCACGTAGGATTTAGGTCGTACTCCGCATGTTTTGTGACTATTCGTTTCTTTCTCTCTAACAAATGAAAATAGAGACAAAGTCCGGGGGCGGATGCATCTCTATGCAAATTACTCTCCTTAGACCCACCTTTTTTTGCTCTTTCTCCTCTTTGCCCCCCTCCCCCCCCCCCCCCAGCCAGGCTCTTAATTGCTTTACGACTACAAGTCACGGAGCCGTGCGTTGCGGCAGTACCGGCGGAAGCTCGCTTGTGCTTTCCGGCAATCGTGTTAGGGTGACCCGGACGCCGCTTAAGATGGCTGGTGTGAGGGAAAACTTGCAGGCACCGTAGGTGTGTGTGTGTGTGTGTGTGTGTGTGTGTGTGTGTGTGTGTGTGTGTGTGTGTGTGTCTGTGTGTGTGTGTGTGTCTGTGTGTGTGTCTGTCTGTCTGTGTGTGTCTCTGTGTCTCCTGGGCTTGAACCCACGGCCTGGGCTCGCGTGTGTGTGTGTGTGTCTGTCTGTCTGTCTGTGTCTCTGTGTCTCCTGGGCTTGAACCCACGGCCTGGGCTCGCGTGTGTGTGTGTGTGTCTGTCTGTCTGTCTGTGTCTCTGTGTCTCCTGGGCTTGAACCCACGGCCTGGGCTCGCGTGTGTGTGTGTGTCTGTCTGTCTGTCTGTCTGTGTCTCTGTCTCTGTGTCTCCTGGGCTTGAACCCACGGCCTGGGCTCGCGTGTGTGTGTGTGTGTGTGTGTGTGTGTGTGTGTGTGTGTCTGTCTGTCTGTGTCTCTGTCTCTGTGTCTCCTGGGCTTGAACCCACGGCCTGGGCTCGCGTTCCACCACTTTAGCCACGGCTCCAGTTCCAGTTTTTGGTGCTTCCTTGGAGATGACGGTCTGATGGACTTTCCCGCTCGGGCTGGCTTCCAGCCGCATCCCGCGGATCGCCGTCTCCTGAGTGGCTGAGAACGTGGCGCGGCGCCCGCAGCAGCTCCGTCTCTCCGGTTAACTTTTCCTTTCTTTGCGTCTTCAGGAGGAGAAGGTTCTCCACTCTACCGTCGCATCTGACATCACCGTTTGTCCGACATCAGCGGCGTCATCCCGGCCCCACTCGACCCCCGCTGCGAGACGCCTCGCCGTCGTGTTACTTGGTTTGGGTTTTCCGCGTGGGGAGGATTGCAGCTTGTGAGAGATCTGTGCTTCCCTCTTCAGCGAGGCTCTGGTCCTCTTCCTCCTCGTCCTTCGGTGTGGGGGAGACCAGCCCTTTCTTGCTGCAGCGTGAGAAATGGAGCCCGACAGCGCCGAGGAGACCGCCGGGGAAGGAGATGGGTGTCTCGGCGACCTCGGGCAGGCCTTCTCTAAGATGGTGCACCGCCTTTCCGACCCGGAGCCACGGCGGGCCAGTGCACGAGGAGATGCTCTTAAGGACCTCGGGGCTCTTATAGATGCCACAGAATGGGACCGATTGTTTGAGAGGAGCGGCGAGTGGGTTCGCAAAATGCTGGAGATCCTGGCACAGGTGACCAAAGCGCTGGAGAAGTATGCAGCCCCATCCAAGGAGGAGGCAGGTGCACGTGGTGGTCACTCCGAAGTGGCTGGTAAAGCTGAAGAAGTTGGCTTACTGTACCTTAAACTGTTGGGGAAAGTTGAGGCCGCCAAGAAGTCTCCACTCTGTTCCACTTGGAAGGCAGATGTAAGTCACTTAGCGGGACCCATCTATATTTTTGCCATCTCTCACAGCTTGAAGCAATCATGGACCACTCCAAGATCTCAGGAGGTGGCCGGAAAGGTGCTCACTTCACTCCTTCAAGTTACTGAATGCAATTCAGTGGCAGGATTCCTATGTGGAGAAAATGAAGAGGAGAGAGGGAGATTTCCTGTGGTCATTGGACTTCTCAAGCCTGATTTGAATAAGTGAGTGCTGATCTTTTAGTTTCTTCATCAGAAAAATAGAGGTGATAAACTAGGCTATCACTGATATAACAAACTGGGCACTGGTGGCTCACGCCTGTAATCCTAGCTACGCAGGAGCCTGAGATCTGAGGATCATGGTTCAAAGCCAGCCAGGCAGGAAAGTCTCTAAGTCTCTTATCTCCAATAAACCACCAGAAAATCGGAAGTGGCACTGTGGCTCATAGGTGGTAGAGCGCTAGCCTTGAGCTGAAGAGCTGAGGGACAGTGCCCAGGCCCAGAATTCAGGCCCCACGACCAACAACAACAACAACAAAAAAAAACAAATTTGAGATTAGAATTAAGGTCTTCTCACTCAGATTCACTCCAGTGCTTCCAAACAAATGATAAATTCTGTCAGCTGACTTGAGAAAATGGGGACTCTGCCCCATCTATCGGCAGTTAGAATGAACACATGAAGAGGATTTAATCTTACATTTTTAAAATTTAAACTTAAGGAGAGAGAGAGAGAGAGAGAGAGAGTGTGTGTGTGTGTGTGTGTGTGTGTGTGTGTGTGTGTGTGTGTAGTGTATGTTATGTAAATTGTTTTAATTCAAATCACTAAATGTATTTTATAAAATTAACTTACCTGGGCTGGGAAGGTGGCTCAGTGGTAGAATGCTTGCCTTGCACGTATGAGGCCTTGGGTTCAATTCCTCAGCACCACATATGCAGAAAAAGCCGGAAGTGGCGCTGTAGCTCAAGTGGTAGAGCACTAGCCTTGAGCTGAAGAGCTGAGGGACAGTGCCCAGGCCCAGAGTTAAAGCCCCACGACCGGCAAAAAAAAAAAAAATTATCTGGAATGTACTATTTTTTCCCCAAAGAACAAGAAAATACTTTATTTAATCTAAACTAGTTACTTTTCTTTGCTAATTATCACCATGTCACTTTACCTGGTGTGTTTTCATGTGTCCTTTCAGGGAATCCTGGAAGAACAACCCTGCAGTCAAACATGTTTTTTCATGGACTCTGCAACAGATTACTCGGCCCTGGCTAAGCCAGCATCTGGAAAGGATACTTCCTCCATCTTTGCTCATTTCAGATGATTACCAAACTGAGAACAAGGTTCTGGGTGTGCAGTGCCTTCATCACATTGTACTTAACGTGGTAAGTACCTTGGGCTGTACTCACCTGTTATTCATCATGGTCTGTTTTTACTTACATGTATATATTTTTCTGAACTTGCTTCCTATTAACATAAAGTCATGGGCTGGAAATATGGCTAAATGGTAGAGTGCTTGCCTAGCATGCATGAAGCCCTGGGTTTGATTGCTCAGTACCACATAAACAGAGCTGGAAGTGGTGCTGTGGCTCAAGTGGTAGAGTTCTAGTATTGAGCAAAAAAGAAGTTCAAGGACAGTGCCCAAGCCCAGAGTTCAAGCCCCAGGACTGGCAAAACAACAACAATAACAAAAAAACCATAAAGTCATTAAATTCTCTTTTTCTCCTCTTTTGTCCTCTCTCAACTTGGTAGAAATTGTATTTCACCATAATATAACAAATAAAAGAGTAATTATAGAAGAAACAGGAAGATACCATTCACTATTAATAACCAGACATTCAGTGATTAACAAGTGACTCAAAAAGAAAAAAAAACAGAACCTGAAAGGAATCATATTCAAATATGCAATTTTTTGTAAGTTTTTATTTTTTTTTTTGTCAGCCATGGGGCTTGAACTCTGGCCTGGGTGCTCTCCCTCAGCTCTTCAGCTCAATGCAAGCACGCTACCTCTTGAACCACAGCACCACTTCTGGTTTTCTATTGGTTTATTGGAGATAAGAGTCTCAAGGACTTTGCTGCCCAGGCTGGCTTTGAACCGTGATCCTCAGGTCTCAGCCTCCTGAGTAGCTAGGATTACAGGCATGAGCCACCGGCACCGGGCTCGTGGATGAGGTTTTGAGTTAGATCCCCAGCACTAGGGGAAAAACACTTTATCAGCCTTGGGAAACTTTCCTTTTAATTGTATAATTGTCTGATTGTAGCCAGCTGCTGATTTGCTCCAGTACAACAGAGCCCAGGTCCTGTACCATGCCATTTTCAACCACCTGTACATGCCAGAGCACTGCCTCATTCAGGTAATTGCAAAGTTTATTCACAATACTCTGGGTTCTAGGTGAGAAGATAGCATTATGTAAGGTAGAAATAGTTGAGAGATATTTTCTTGTCTTGTAAAATGGAAGATGTGAACTAAAAGCTATTGCCAAGTTGAAAGTATTGCACCATCAAGCAGGGACCTACATTCCTGAGTCTCTGCAGAAAAGCCAGTTTTATCTTCATGTGGATCAACTACATGTCAGTTAGGATCAGTATAATGTCTAAAAATGTTGTACTTTTATTTAAACATTTTTGTCCTGCTTTATATCAGCACTTGCACTTTAAACACTGTGTATGTAGATATTTTAGTATCCGTTATTGGTTCATTCAACAAAGAATGTTCTGTTTGCATCATTGTGGTTATTGTGACTTATTCCAAGAATTAAGCGAATCAAACAGGCTTTGTAGCTTTAAGAAACACTGGAGGGATAGTTATTTCAATGTGACTCTGTACACATATATCCAAAACTGTGAACAACAGAACGGTAACAATAATGCAACGCACAGGCGTAGCCACCAATAAGCAGCTAACTACCCACCAGGTTTGGGTGGTGTTGAGGTGGTTTCGCTAGGTGATTTTTTGTGTGTGTGTGTAGGTTGTGGGGCTTAAACTCTGGGCCTAGGTGCTGTCCCTGAGCTCTTCAGCTCAAGGCTAGCGCTCTACCACTTGAGCCACAGCACCACTTTCTTGAGGTGGTTTAGAAGGCATTGGGAATGAAGTAATACTTGCTTATGGAAGATGTATTCATTCCTATTAGAGTTGCTTAGGAGGGAAAAGAACATTCTAAAGACAGAAGCAGTAAAATGAAGAAGAAGCAGAGGTGCTGGCATTAAACCAGCTCCTTGAAAATGCTAGGCTGGTGCTCTACCACCAAGCTAAACCCCCAATCTCTTTTAGCCTTCTCTGCTACCCTCTCACTACTACCTTTTTTCACTTTTTTACCCCTTTTTCCTTTTAAATAGTACTTTTGGTACTGGAAATATACCAATAAGTACAAAGTTTATGTCATTTATTTATTTATTTATTTTTTATTTATTTATTGGGTCTGGTCGTGGGGCCTGAACCTTGGGCCTGGGCACTGTCCCTCAGCTCTTCAGCTCAAGGCTAGCGCTCTACCTCTTGAGCCACAGCACCACTTCCGGCTTTTTTCTTTTTGCTTATGTGGTGCTGAGGAATCGAACCCAGGGCCTCAGGCATGCAAGGCAGGCACTCTACCACTGAGCCACCTTCCCAGCCCAAGTTTATGTCTTTTAATGTGGAGAAAAAAAATTTTTTTTGATGCTGGTACAGGGGTTTAAACTTGGTCTCATGCTATCACTTGGCTTTTTTGGTTAAAGCTGATTTTTAAGCCACACCTCCACATCTCGCTTTTGCTGCCTAATTGGAGGTGTGTGTGTGTGTGTGTGTGTGTGTGTGTGTGCTTGAACTTTGCCTGGCTGTCCCTGAGCTCTTCAGCTCAAGGTGAGCACTCTACCACTTGAGCCACAGTGCCATTTCTGGTTTTCTGGTGATTAATTGGAGATAAGAGTCTCATGGACTTTCCTGCCCGGGCTGGATTTATTTGAACGGTGATCCTTAGATCTCAGCCTCCTGAGTAGCTAGGATTACAGTCATGAGCCACCAGTACCTGGCTTCATGAGATCTTATACCAGAGCTTTGAAAAATGATCTTCAGATCTCAGCCTCCTAAATAGCTAGGACCACAGGTGTGAGTCACCAGCACATGGCTTAGAATTACATTCTTTGTAGGAATAGTTTCATTGAATTTGGTACATAAATGTCATATATCACCAACAATTTTGTGATAATAGACTTAGATTACTGAGAATCTAGGTTAAAGTCCAATCACTCTTATTCTAAAAGTTAGTATGTAAGTCTTGAAGAGGAAGTATTAAACTCGGGACTGTCAGATGGAGATGATATGAAGAGTTTGGCATGATGGGTCACACCTGTAATCACAGCCGCTTAAGAAGCAGAAATTGGGAATTTTTTCCAGCCTAGGAACAACTTAGCATAAATCCATGTAAATCAATAAGCTTGGCATGGTGGCTCACACTTGTCATCCCTTCTCTGGGTTGCACCAATAGTATTGGCTAGCCCAGGCAAAAACTTGAGACGCTGTCTCAAAAAATAACTACAGTAAGAAGAGCCTGGAGGCATGGCCTGAGTAGTTTAACACCTGCCTAGCAAGAGCAAGGCCCTTAGTTCAAACTCCAGTGGGGGAGGGGGGAGGGCGGGGAGTGAGCAGTTTGAAAGTTTTAAGTATCATGCACTTAATGTATTATTGGTGTTTTTTTACATCCCCACAGTCAATGAAGATCTTAAAAACTCAGGAGTGTCGTGAATGCAACTGGTGAACTATGGTTTTTTCCCTTTCCCCTAGGCTGTGCTTCTGTGTCTGTTGGATTTATTTCCTATTCTGGAGAAATCCCTGCACTGGAAGGGAGATGCTGTTCGACCCACCACACACTGTGATGAGGTACTGCAGTTGATCCTGACCCACATGGAGCCAGAGCACCGCCTTCTCTTACGCAGAACCTATGCCAGACATCTACCAGCTTTTGTCAAGAGGCAAGTACCTCAACTGCTTGTCAGGCCGTCTATCCTCAGTCCCTCTCTTGTGTGACAGTCCTTGGGCTTGAACTGAGGGACAGGGTATTGTCCCTGAGCTTTTTTGCTAAAGGTTGGCTCTATATGACTTGAGCTACAGCTCTACTTCTGGCTTTTTTTTTTTTTTTGTCAGTTGTGGGCAATCCCTAAACTTTTTCACTCAAGGCTAGTACTCTATCACTTTGAGCCACTTCCGGTTTTCTAGTGCTGAATTGGAGGTTGAGTCTCATGGCAACTTTCCTGCCTGGGCTAGCTTCAAACCAGTACCCTCAGATCTCAGCCTCCTGAATAGCAAGGATTACAGGTGTGAGCCATCAGCACCCAGCTTACTTCTACGTTTTTTTGTTGGTTAACAGTAAATAGTCTCATGTACTTTCCTACCCAGAGTGATCCTCAGAGCTCAGCTTCCTGAGTAACTAGAATTATAGGCATACGCCGCCGGCACCCAGCTCAGTCCAACTCTTTGGTCATCATTGCATTTTTTTTTCCATTTTCAGACTGGGGATCCTAACTGTCCGGCACATGAAGAGACTGGAGCGAGTCATTACTGGTTATCTGGAGGTTTATGATGGACCAGAAGAGGAGGCTAGGCTGAAGATACTGGAAACACTAAAGCTTCTTATGCAGTATACTTGGCCTAGGTATATAGCACCCAAACACACAGGTGTGCTAAAGGGATACACCTCAGTCAACTTCCTGTTTAGAATTTGCCCAGATATGTGTGTTCAGTACAAAGACTCAGGACACGTAATTTATTTCAATTTTTCATTTGCACACATGTATAGCATTTCAGTGCACAAATACTATTAGAAAGAACCTATATTACTGAGTCAGCAAAAGGCCTTCTTGTATGAACTCAGAGTTTAAAGATCACCAGCTAGGTAGTCTTACATCTTTTAATCTAATATGCCAATTTAGAATATGACCATTTTTCTTCCTGATTCCAGAATTTCCTGCAGACTTGTGATCCTATTGAAGGCTCTTTTGAAATTGGTGTGTGATGTAGCAAGGGATACAAACCTTACACCTGAACCTGTTAAGAAAGTCTTACTACAAGAGGCTACAGACTGCCTAATCCTTCTGGACCACTGCTCCCGAGGACAGGTAAAGGTAAGGCAGTCTGCAACTCAGTTCTGTGGATCTCTTTGTCCTTAGGTAATGCTTTTGATTATGGTTATAGTGTTTATGTGCCCAGTCAAGTGTGGGAGTGTTTTAGGTCCCCATCTAACTCTAGGTCCTCTAGTCTTGCAGAATTTGATCAACTAGTGGTTGAACCCAGGACCTGGCACATAGTGACATTGACATTAAATGTACAAATTGACATTGAACTATGCCCCAACCCCTCCTTTTCAGATCATTTAGAGTAAAAGGATTCAGATGTTAGGGATTAAGGATGGAAAAAAAGAATGGGTAAAAGCCTTACAAGCAAGTAAGATTTCTCTTACAGTCTTTTGAGCTTTAAAAAAAAAACAACACAAGCCATGTCTATGGGCATGCCCCCCCCCCCCTTCCCCAACCCCCACAGTCCTCAGGGGCTAGACAATGTCCCTGAGCTTCTTTTGCTCAAAGCTAGCACTCTACCACTTGAGCCACAGTGCCACTGCCAGCTTTTTCTGTTTACGTGGTACTGAGGAATTGAACCCAGGGCTTCATGCATGCAAGGCAAACACTCTACCACTAAGCCACATTTCCAGCCCTGTGGGCATGCTTGTATGTATTTAGTAATGTCTCATTTCTTGCCCCATTTAGAAATTTTTTGCAGAATGAAGGAAGCGTGACACAAAACTCAACTTCTAAAAATATTTAGTAATAGAATGCTTTTTTTTATTATTATTCGAACCATTTCATTTTAGCTCTTTAATCATGAGGAGTTATTGAGGCTCAGTTCTAATGCTATTTGCCATGGCTGGAAATAAGCAGCTTTTTCACAGGCCAGCAGGACCCTTGCAAGCTTCTGTTCTGACCAGTAAACTCATTCTTGCCTTTTGAGTATAATAATAAGAGTAAAGGGAAAAAAGAGTGGAGTGTCCATGGCTCACATCTATAATATTAGCTATGCAGGAGGCTGAGATCTGAAGACCACAGTTCCAAAGCCAGCCCTGGCACGGAAGTCCATGAAACTCTTACCTCCAATTAATCAACAAAAATTTGTAAGTGGTTCATTCCTAGAATCCTGGCTACTCAGGAGGCTGAGATCTCAGGATCTGGTCCAAAGCCAGCCTGGGCAGGAAAGTCTTTGAGATTTTTTTTCTTTGGGGTCCGGTTGTGGGGCCTGAACTCTGGGCCTGGGCGCTGTCCTTCAGCTCTTCAGTTCAAGGCTAGCGCTCTACCACTTGAGCCACAGCGCCACTTCCGGCTTTTTTTTTTTGCTTTTGTGGTGCTGAGGAATCGAACCCAGGGCCTCAGGCATGCAAGGCAAGCGCTCTACCACTGAGCCACCTTCCCAGCCCATCCTTGAGATTCTTATCTCTAATTACCAGAAAACTAGAAGTGGCACTGTGGCTCAAAGTGGTAGCATGGTAGTTTTGAGTGAAATAAGTTCAAACCCCATGGCTGACCCCTCTACCCACCCCCCAAAAAAGCCTGAAGTGGAGTTGTGGCTCAAGTGGTAGAGTACTGGTCTTGAGCAAAAAGGCTCATGGACAACCTGAGCCCAGTTTTTTCATACTACCCCACCACCCAAAAGAAAAAAGAAAAAGGGGCTGGGAAGGTGGCTCAGTGGTAGAGCGTTTGCCTTGCATGCTCAAGGCCCTGGGTTCGATTCCTCAGCACCACATAAGCAAAAAGAAAAAAAAAAAGCCGGAAGTGGCGCTGTGGCTCAAGTGGTAGAGCACTAGCCTTGAGCTGAAGAGCTGAGGGACAGCGCCCAGGCCCAGAGTTCAGCCCCACAACCAGACCCAAAAAAAAAAAACAAAAAAACCAAAAAAACTTTTGCTTTATTTAATGTTTCAGGATCTTCTAGCCAGAGTTGTCTTAACCTGCACAGACAGCACAGTGGTGAACTGTATTAGAAAAGTGCAGCAGAATCCTGTGGATGCTTCTGTCCTTGGAATTTAAGATTACTTCCCAAGAAGAAAGGATTGTATGAATGGAGTTAGAGCAAAAGGTATTTTTATACTAAACGCTGGAAGTTTGAGTTTCGTTTTCCTTTATTCTTTTCCTTTTACCCTCATGGAAGTAGGGAAAGAAAACAAAATAAAAACTGGGAAGTTGCCATTTCTAAATACAGTAGGAAGAGGAGAATAGAAAAAGATTATCAAGGAATTTGCTTCTCAAAGTCTAGAAATATTTGCACCCACAACTTCATTTCAGCTTCAGGAACAGATCTGTTAAGCTTCTTGGCTTCAAGCTTTTACTAAAAACATATTAAAATATATATATATATATATTTTTTACAACTTAAGGCTTTCTCTATTCACTCCAGACTTCTTGCTCCTCTAAAGTGACATAAAATTAAAACACAAATACTGTGTGAACTACAACTCAAAGAGCAAAAACTGGAGGGGGAGATATGCTTTAGAAGAAGTTTTAAAGAAGTTCATAATGTTCGTTCCTGATTGTAACGGAAGGCAATCACGTGGCTTTGGCCTTAGCCATGGGCTCTGTCTCCTGTTCATACTCTATTTCCACATAGGCTCGTTTTCTCTGCAATGGTCCTTTCAAGGGCGCTTTGCCTTTGTGTTTCACACTGATGACCTTTTCTTCCTCCTCTTCACTGGAGGATTCATCATCCTTGTCTTCATCACCACTGGTGTCCAGTTTATCCATATCCTAGTAAGTAGAGAGAAAAAGTCAAATAGGGAAGGGCTACATTTTTCCAAACCCCCTTTACTGTTCTCTCAAGAACAGAGCAAATTAGAGAATTCATTTTCATGTGTGTACGTTTAGAACTACCCCCCCCCCTTGTCTGTTTCAGGCCAAAGGACAATTCTTTTGAAATTTTTTCTTTTTTTTTTTTGCTTCTTAGCTCGAGGCTAGCACTCTACACTTGAGCCACAGCACCACTTCCAGCTTTTTCTGTTTACATAGTACTGAGGGACTGAACCTAGGGCTTCATGCATTCTAGACAAGCACTCTACCAGGAAGCCACATTCCCAGCCCCCAGAACAATTCTCTTTTTTTTTTTATCCACAGCTCACCTCAAAATCACTTAGGTCACTCTCATCTACCTCATCATCTTCTACAAATTCCCTTTTTCCCATATCCTAAAATAAAAGACATAAAAGTCAGTTTTCACATTAAAGCAATTAAAATTTACTCATTTCTGAATTTAATATGAACATTAGATAACTCATGCCCGGTTTAAATCATTAAGAGGTACATCTCCAAGAAGAGTAAATTGTTTTATACTTCTGGCTCGGATGCTAGAGAGATTTATATATGTATTATAAATAAACATCTAATTCTGAAGATTACTAATTGACAAAACTTACTTCTTCCTCCTCTTCCTCATCATCTTTCTCCTCAACATCTGAAGAGTCACTCTCTGCCTCCTGCTGTTCCAGAGCCTTGTCGAAGGCATGAATAGGGAAGTTGTAGATGTCGCCATACTAGAAAACAAACAGATTGCCTTGAACTACATATGGCTATTATACTTGAAGTTCTACTGTCCTGCAAGCATGCATATTCTTTTATCCTGAGGGAGTAAATGAGGATATTTAACTTTGATGAGAAGGTTAATTTCTGTTGTTTTTAAATCCCGAGCCAGCAGTATAGCCCAGTTTTTTTGTTGCTTCTTTGTGCTGAAAGCTAGCACTCTACCACTTGAGCCACAGCGCCACTCCAGTTTTTGAGTGGTGTATTGGAGGTTAAGAGTCTCACGGGGACTTTTCTGCCTAGGCTGGCTTTGAACCCTGACTCTCAGATCTCTCAGCCTCCTGAGAAGTTAGGATTACAGGCATGAACTACCAGTGCCCAAATATAGCCCAGTTTTGACATTTAAATAATCAATGGTTGACGTCAAATAGGCAGTAACTTCCATGAAGGATGAAAGCAGGTCACTTAAACTTAGTAGTTTATGAGACCCTTGCAATGGGAAAAATATAATCTTGCTGAAAGGGGAAACAAAAAAAAAATTCATTTTCTTGTCTCTAAATGTTAACCTTAAAAAAGATGTTTAAACTCACGTAAAACTCAGCTTAAAATATGACTGTTTTATTTATTTATTTAGTCAGTCGTGGGGCCTGAACTCTGGGCCTGGGCACTGTCCCTCAGTTCTTCAGCTCAAGGCTAGCACTCTACCACCTGAGCCACAGCGCCACTTCTGGCTTTTTCTTCTTATGTGGTGCTGAGGAATCGAACCCAGGGCCTAATGCATCCAAGGCAAGCACTCTACCACTGGACCACCCTCCCAGCCCTTGACTATGTTTTAGACTCTAGTATCTGGAAGAGTGTGAGAATGGGAATTGGAAATACAAAGTCTTTGGCAGTGGATTATCAAGGGCTAGTGAAGCATTCTATGTGCTTACATAAATTAACAAAAAGGAGGAAGGATAAAAATTTAAATTTCAAGGACAAATCAGAGTAGGCCATCTTTCTAGCACTTTATTTGGTAGAATGATATTACCACTTACAATGTATGCCCCAAAGATGTTTCCTTACCGTATCTTGTTTCAGTCTCTCTAGCAATTCCTTCTCAATGGCATTGTCCAGCTGAGCAGCAATTAATGCTTTTTCCTATAAGAGAAAGAACACTAATTTACTTCATTAGTACTCATTTTTTTTCAGACTGCAGAATTAGAAATTGTTTATTTTCTGTGCCTGTCTTGGGGCTTGAACTCAGAGCCTGTACTAGCCCTGGGTTTTTGGGCGTTTTTTTTGGGTCCGGTTGTGGGGCCTGAACTCTGGGCCTGGGCGCTGTCCCTCAGCTCTTCAACTAAGGCTAGCACTCTACCACTTGAGCCACAGCACCACTTCCGGCTTTTTTCTTTTTGCTTATGAGGTGCTGAGGAATTGAACCCAGAGCCTCATTCATGCAAGGCAAGCGCTCTACCACTGAGCCACCTTCCCAGCCCCGGCCCTGAGTTTTTATGATCAAGGCTCTACCACTTAAACAACAGCTTCACCTACCAGCTTTTTTTGGTGGTGAATTGTAGTCTCATGGACTTCCCTACCTTGGCTAGCTTCAAACTGTGATCCTCAGATGTCAGCTTCCTGAGTAGCTAGGATCACAGGCATGAGCCACCCAGCTTTTTTGTTATTTTTAAGGAGTTGTACAAAGAGTTTACAATTTTCTAAGTCAGGTTATGAGTACAATGCTTCTTTACCAATGTTACCCCTTCCTTTGAGACAAAGAAAGATCTCATAATTTTAGAAATAGCATTCTAAGTTTCTAACAGACTTTAGTGATATACTAAACATATAGTTCTGCATACGTTTAAAATATAAAGTAAGCCAACTTGTAAAAGCCACTAAAATGAAAGAGACATCAACCATCTATATTTTCTAAAATTACATTATATTCGATGTGGCAGAAAAATAAGCTCATAAACCCTTTTGTGCAACTACTTCTAAGGTATCATAAAAAAGTAATATAAGAAATTTCTTCCTGTAACGTATTTAAAAAAATCTGTGATCCACCCAGTCTAAAATTTTGCATCAATTTTATAAGAATAGTTGTAGAAAAGTTTTGATGTATTCCCCAGAGAAGCTGTGTTTTTGAAAGTAGTAGCTTCACTTATTATCACAGACTCATGAAGGTTATTGACTTCCTCACGCACCCTACCTACACACAACCCTTTCCCTATGAAAACATACAAGCTATGAAAATATCAGATCTAAGTTACCTCTCTTCTTTTTTCCCTTCGTTCCACCTTCTTACTCAAAGGAACAAGTTTTTTCCTAGAGAAATAGAATACCTTATTAAAAATTCAAGTTCATATCCAATGTGCTCTTTTTTTTTAGCAAACAGTATTGGAATTCAGTACAGAAAGAAATACTTCCTGAAAGTAGTAGGAAAAATACTGATAGAAGCTGAGCATCAGTGATTCATGTCTATAATCGTAGCTACTCAGGAGGATGGTAGTTCAAAGCCAGCCTGCGCAGGAAAGTCAGTGAGATTCTTATCTCCAATTAACCAACAGAAAACCAGAAGTGGTGCTGTGGCTCTCTCCAATTAACCAACAGAAAACCAGAAGTAGTGCTGTGGCTCAAATGGTAGAGTGCTCACCTTGAGCTGAAGAGTTCAGGGGTGGCGCCCTGGCCCAGTGTTCAAGCCCCACAACTGACACACTAATTGAGAAGTCATTTTCAAGTATTTTGCAACACAGGAGCTTTTTATATACCTCCAGCTATTGAAATACCTTATCCAATATGCAAAGGATTACTGGGAAAGGCAGTCACAACTTAACTGAAGGAAACGCCAGAGTAAATTATAAAGAGTAGTATGTCCAACTCTTTCAACAGGCAAAGAAGATGTAAAAGCTAAGAAAATTGATTTTCATGGTCTTGGAGAATTTGATCACTGGTTCTTTTGAATTAATTCTGAGAATCCTTTTCTGGGACCACCTCAAGATGAATGGGAGACATAGCATTCCTGGTATGATGTAAAGCTTAGGTTTTATTATAATACTTCAAAACAAATGTAATAGACTACCATGGAACAGAACTGTGAGCCTTCATCACTTTAGTATAAGAATTTTTTTTCTCAGCTGCAACCTAGACTCCCACAGACTGAAGTGTGCTGCAGAGAATGTCTATTTAGAAAATGGTTGTTTGGATTTTTTTTTTAAGCAAATTTTTGGACTTAGTGCCATTTTGTGGCTTATGCCTATAATCCTAGCTACTTAGGAGGCTGAGATCTGAGGATCACAATTCAAAGCCAGTCTATGAGATTCTTATCACCAATTAACCACCAAATAAACAGAAGTAGAGCTATGGCTCAAAGTGGTAGAGTGCGAGCCTTTTTTTTTTTTTGGGGGGGGGGGGGGGTGGTCCGGTCGTGGGGCCTGAACTCTGGGCCTGGGTACTGTCCCTCAGCTCTTCAGCTCAAGGCTAGCGCTCTACCACTTGAGCCACAGCACCACTTCTGGCTTTTTTCTTTTTGCTTATGTGGTGCTGAGGAATCAAACCCAGGGCTTCAGGCATGCAAGGCAAGCGCTCTACCACTGAGCTACCTTCCCAGCCCGAGTGCTAGCCTTGAATGAAAAAGCTCAAGGACAGTGCCCATGCACTTGAGTTGCTTCTTCAAGCCCCATGATGGACAAGAAAAAAAAAGTCTCAGGGATGTTCCTGCTTGGGCTGGCTTTGAACT